TCGCCGTGCTTCTTCTGCCTGCACACGTTCACGTAGCAGTTGCTCTTCCGCGGCCATCCGCACGATCTCTTCAGCTTCTCTTTGCTGCTCTTGTCGCAGTCGTTCCTGGCAATCCACCCAGGTCAAGGACGCAGAAAACACAAGAAGCTCACTGGCCTCTTCTCTGCGCTGCTCCTCCGCCATGCGCTGTCGCTCCTCTTCTTCTTTCTGCGCCTGACAAACGTCTTTCTGCCGCTGCTCCTCGGCAGCCATCCGGGTGCTCTCTTCTGCTTCTCGGCGTTCCTCCTCTCTTTTCATCTCCTCCTCAATCGATCGCGACAAAGAGAAGGGACAATCTCACAGAATGCAGTGATATACCGGGTGTCGAGCAAAACCAAGCGAAGCGCCTAGCATGTTGGACACCAAACACGCAGGGTCTGCCCCCGTCGCCACCCCTCCTCCATTCGTCGCCGTGCTTCTTCTGCCTGCACACGTTCACGTAGCAGTTGCTCTTCCGCGGCCATCCGCACGATCTCTTCAGCTTCTCTTTGCTGCTCTTGTCGCAGTCGTTCCTGGCAATCCACCCAGGTCAAGGACGCAGAAAACACAAGAAGCTCACTGGCCTCTTCTCTGCGCTGCTCCTCCGCCATGCGCTGTCGCTCCTCTTCTTCTTTCTGCGCCTGACAAACGTCTTTCTGCCGCTGCTCCTCGGCAGCCATCCGAGTGCTCTCGTCTGCTTCTCGACGCTCCTCCTCTCTTTTCATCTCCTCCTGACTCGATCGCGCCAATCACAGAATTATTCTCACACTCATGCTTCGTTTCAGCCAAGCCATGAACGAGTTGGGTAATGGAAGGACTTAAAAAGCACATTCATTCTTACAGCATGCTGGGAATTTTACACACCTTAGTGGGCAGTACGTCAGGAGTCTGCGCATCTAATTACAAGTCGCTACTGCTACATCATATACAAGGATCAGAGATCTCTGGCGGACTCTGGCGGTATGCAAGAATGCGTTGCAGGCGTGACACGAGGGACAGTACCAAATGATCGCTGCTCAAATTATAGTTGGCCCTTTTTGTTGGCACGGCTTGCCGAGGCTTGGCAATTCCTTTCTTGCTTCTGTCCGCTCATCCCTGCTATCTTTCGTCTATCTTTCGTTGTTTATATCATCCATTCGTTGGTTCTTCCTTCTGACTGCCTTGATTTCAACTAAATTCTCGCGAAACCCCAAAACGAAACTCGCCGCCCACATCCCAAACAAACAGGGCTGCAATCAACAGGTATCAGCACCCTGATCCATCCGTCGCCGTGCTTCTTCTGCCTGCACACGTTCACGTAGCAGTTGCTCTTCCGCGGCCATCCGCACGATCTCTTCAGCTTCTCTTTGCTGCTCTTGTCGCAGTCGTTCCTGGCAATCCACCCAGGTCAAGGACGCAGAAAACACAGGAAGCTCACTGGCCTCTTCTCTGCGCTGCTCCTCCGCCATGCGATGTCTCTCCTCTTCCTCTTTCTGCGCCTGAGAAACGTCTTTCTGCCGCTGCTCCTCGGCAGCCATCCGAGTGCTCTCTTCTGCTTCTCGGCAATCCTCTTCTCTTTTCATGTCCTTCTAGCTCGACCGCGACAAGCCCAAGGTACAATGCATCAACGGAGCAAACAGAACTTCACAGAATACACAAATTGGACGCGGAACACGCAGAGTCTGCCCCCGTCGGCACCCCTCCTCCATACGTTTCCGCGCTTCTTCTGCCAGCACACGTTCACGTTGCAGCTGCTCTTCCGCCGCCATCCGCACGATCTCTTCAGCTTCTCTGTGCTCCTGCTCTTGTCGACATCGCTCCTGGCTGTCACCACGTGACACAGAAAGACACAAAGAGGTCAGAAGGGACTGCAAAGGCCTGGCCTCTTCTCGGCGCTGCTCCTCTTCCAGACGCTGTTTCTCCTCTGCCTCTTTCTCCGCCTGGGACAGGCGCGTCTTGCTATGTGCTATCACTTCACAGCGCCAGTCAGAAAGCACTTGGCTGCATCTTGAACAGCTGCAACACTTGAAGAGCAGGTGAAAGTCTCGACAAACGTGGAAAAAACGTAACCATCTGTCGCTGCGCTTCTTCTGCCTGGGCCTGTTGCAACCATTCTTCCACGGCCAGTCGTGAACTCTCTGCCGCTTTTCTTTGCTCTTGCTCTTGTCGGCGTCGCTCCTGTCAAACTCCCCCCTACTTTAGATTCTTTAGATTCCAACCTGCCCACAGCACCGCTATATGATACAGCAGTCGCTAGTAGCGACCTGGAGCAACACCAAAAGAGTGCAAAACTCTCGCATCTTCTCTTCGCTGCTCCTCCATACGCTGGCTGTCCGCCTCTTTCTCTGCCTGAGCAAGGTCCCGCTGCCGCTGCTCCTCCACAGCCAGACGTGCACTGCGACACTGTGTCAGCAACTGTCGACACCTACATCTT